TTTTTTATTGTTCTTTTTTTTTTTAAAGAAATTACATTTTTGAAATTGTTACGTTTATTCTGGTTTATTTATTGGAGTCGTTTGTGAGCTGAGCTGTGTGGTTTTATATGTTACAGTATGTATTTCTCTGTACAGCACTTTGGTCTGGAGGTTTTAAAGTGCTATATAAATAAAGTTGGATTGGATTAATCTACCTTATTTGGAGGCCCCCTAGCACTTGCCTGCCTTTCCTGTCGGCAAACGGCGCCCCTGTATACACACACACATTCAATACATACATAGTATGATGGCTTGAACTAGTGGGAGAAATTGCACTGTTTTTTCTGTAGCCAATGCCTTGAACTTTGGCAAAAAGGCATTAGAAGCATTAGAAAGTCAAGGTAAACTTGCGGTTAACTTGCGGTCTGTAATGCGTGTCACGCTCGCGCACACAAGTAAATATGCACGTTCATTCTCACAACGCATCAGACACAAGAAATTATACATTAATTGACATCATCAGAACGTTTTTTTAAAAAATGTTTAAAATAATTTGTATTTGTTATAATGGGACAGGGTTCGGTCCGGAATGATTTGTAGTTCGTTCCGGAGTTCGGAGTTTGAGAAGCCCTGCTCTAAAAGTTTCCACTACACATGGCAACTGATTAACTGTACAATTAACATAAACAGTGAATGCCAGAACTGCAGAAATTTTGTGTCGAACAAGCATTTTCTTTTCAGTTCTACTTTACTACATTCTGAAAGCAAATGCTGAACTTTTGACTTTTGAAAACATGAATGCATCACTATTATAATCCAGTGATATGATATATATTATTCTGCATAAGTACTTTTAGTTTTGCATTTGCATTTTATATTACTACTTTTACCCAAGCAAAACGTGTAGCCTTATTCTGGCATCACTGGTCCTCTTTATTTCCCCAAACGTATGTGTGATTTCTTTCGATTACTGAATTTAACGGGCGTTAGGACCAGGGGAACATTACTAGCAGCTGGCTGTTGGCTGTTACTGGTAAACATGGCCGACCAAAACAAGACAGACACTGACTCAAAGTTTTACAATGAAGTACTAAGGTATGTTATTATCGGTAATGCGAAATAGTAGTGAATTTGTTGGCGGTTGAGCAATAACTTTCGTAATATTTAGTCAAATTGTTATTTTATCATAGTTTATTGTAAGGGCTTAAGAGTTGCCCCGTTCACATGGTCATACGGTTATTTTAACTGTCAGTTAGATAGGTTGTGGTTCCAGGGAAACCTTAGTTGACGTGACGTTTAAAAACCCGTAAAGCGATATATTAGTTTAGAGGTGGCGAAACATCATATACCATTATATATTTCATGAATCATTATTGTTAGTCTCTCAGTCAGACAGAGGAACTACTCTCCTCCATCGTAAAAGTTCTGATACAACAATGTCAATAAATTACCTTTTTAAATGACACAACATGATATACTCAATACCTCTGTGCTAACTTGCCCGTATCAGTTAACATTATAATAAATGTATCTTATGTGGCACACTATTTTGACTATATTAATTCATTTTATATACATATTTTTAAATAAAAATAATTTCAGTTTTTTTCAAAAGCTTCCATAATGTGTCCCACTCTATTTTTTATGGAATTATTGATGAAAATACAGAAGTTTCTTTATTAAAAACCCGTAAATCTTTTTAATAGCTTCCATATGTGACCAATGAACTCCAAATCAATGCAGAATTGCATTACTACACTGAAAAAAGTAGAACTATTTTTTTGTAGGACGTAAATATTTATTTTTATGATATATGAATAGTGTTAAGAACATTCTGAGGTTTATTTTTTGAAAATCAAATGACATACATGCCCATATCTTCCATGACATGTGATCCAGTGATTCTAAATAAATGCAGGATTGTGATAATAACCTATAAGTCTGACACATCACTTTTAATGGATTGTATTCCTTCTTCTCTCTTGCGTTTATCTATTGATAGACTACCAAAATGCCAGAACGTGAACGTGTTTTTTTTTTTTATTCCAGCCCATCTGAACTGTTTGCAGCCCGGTCCAGGAGTCACAAGATCCCGGTGAGAGGACAGAAAGACTTCTTCCCTGATGACTCAGACGAGCAAAGACAGCGACTTGAGCAGAGTCTCAATGAGCACTGGAGCCTCATATCCGAGGAGCGAGTGGAGAAACTGTGAGTAGGCATGGCATCAGTCCAACAAACCAGGAGTAACACCGACAAAATCTGCTGTCATTGATTGATTGTGAAAAACATATCAAACACAAAATAATAAAATTTGACTGTGGTTTCAGCTCTATAAAAAGTAACTAGTGTAGTTTTTCTTGGTAGAAATACTAGAAGAGAGAAGCACTCTATTTGTCCATTGTGATGTTTGCAATCTGCTTATTTCCTCCTACTGGCAAAAAAAATACAAGTAATGTTAAAATAAACTACCAGTTGTTGCTGTTGAATTTATGCAAGCAGGCATAGACATTGTATAGCTCAGGCTTATTTTTTTTGGCAATTTCATTTTTGCCTTCAATTGAGTTTATTTCCTGCATCAACTCAAAATCCAATGAAAAAAATCCTATTGCGTTTTGACTTGGCAACAAGGGGGATTTTAACTTCCAGGTTATAAATGAGGTCATCCCTGGTGGCCAGAAAATCACTTTCTTTTTAAAATATTTTTACTATATACTTTGCCAAAATTGTAAAGTATGTGGGTTGAGCTTCAGATGCTGCATTGAAAATAATGTCTTTACTTTTTAATTTAGGGGAAACCTAGTGAAGGCCAAATGGATTCCAAGTGAGAAGATCGTGGAGCTTCAGTCTCCAGCTGTGAGTATTCCTCAGTGTACAAAGCAATATACTCACACCCCGTTACATTTTATTTTGACTGAGTCTGAAAACACTTGTTTTTTTACATAGGGGAAGTTTTGGCAGACGATGGGATTTTCTGCTGGCGGCAAGCAGTTTCTCTTCCCTGAAGAGGCTCTCTACCTGATGGAGTGTGTGAGTGGCAGTTATATTTCTCCAATCCCCCTACCCTATTGTGATCTGTAAAATATGGATAACTGATTACTTTGAGTGACTGTGTTAACAGGGGAACGTGCAGGTGTTCTACCAGGAGCTGCCACTGTCCATTCAGGACGGGTATGAGACATTTCTGTACTCAAGCACATTGAGGCTCCAGGAATATCAGGTAAGAGAAAACATCCCGACAGATATTCTGAAGGAGGCCTGAACTGCGTCCAACAATTTTTTTTTATATCTCTTAGGTGTTTGGGCATTTGAAGAGGCTTGGCTATTTGGTGCACAGATTCCATCCCAGGTAACTGCATCCTCATTGACACAGGAAGGGGAAAATGTATGCCATTTGTCAATTCTTTGCAAACCAAATTTGTTAAGATATTGAAATAACCTTTAACATTTTTTTACAGTAGCATGTATCCCACTATGTGTAGCCAAACTGCTACAAGCAATTTTATTTCATGTATTTCCTTTTACCTTTCCATCTGGTTGTATAAAGTTTGTAATATGCTTTTTTTTAACTGCCGTCGCGGCTTCTTTCCTACTTCTTAGATGCGTTTCAAACAGACTTGCGGTTAATCAATATACAATTATTTCGTCACACGTTCCACAATAAAAATAGGCCTTTAAGATAGTTGCCAACAAAACAGGCAAAAAATGAAAGATAAACAAACTATATAATGTTGTACGAAGAGTAACGCTTTAAACTGTGTTTCAACGGCGTCTTCCACACAGGTTCCGGTATATCTGTATCTTAAATGCTGGTGCCGTGGGTATTGTAGTCTTTTATAGCCCCTTGACTACACAAGTCACAAATAGGGGACAATATGAATTGACTTTGTCACAAAAAAAGTAAACTGGCTCTGACAATTGTTCTAAGCGACAATGTCTTTGGTACAATATTCTAACTAATTTGATTTAAAAGGATTATTCCTGACTTTTAAAATGTACCAAGCTACCACATTTTTCTCGTTGCTTTCACTTCCATTTGTATTGCCTGTGCATATAATACAAATATAAATAAAGTCAGGCTCAGGTTTGTGCCGACAAAAGAAAAGGAAATCATTATATCAACCCATATTTCAAACTTTCAGAACATTTATTTGTTATGTATTCTAGTTTGAAAACGTATACTGAGTTTGCCTTAATGTTCAGAAATGTCGAGTGGCAAACAAATGTAAAAGTACTTACACAACAAGAACAAAGTTACACAATTAGATAAAAACAGGAAATATCACAAAAAGCACAAGATGAAAACAGATAAAAAAAACAAAGAAAATCGGCTTAAACAGTCTTCATTACTCTATTGTCTTATCATGTCCAAATCATTTAGTGACAGACATGATGTTAGCTGTAAATGTCCAGGATTTGACAGTGTGTGTGTGTGTGTGTGTGTGTGTGTGTGTGTGTGTGTGTGTGTGTGTGTGTGTGTGTGTGTGTGTGTGTGTGTGTGTGTGTGTGTGTGTGTGGCTTTTTATAGTTCTGAGACATCGTCCTATGCGAAGCAGCTGAACCTTCCTCAGTCACGTGACAGAGCAGGGAAACAGCTGAAGAGAAAGCGCAGCGCCAGCCCCACCGCAACATCCAGGTATCGCTTCACAATATTTAACGTTTTTTTATCATCACTGAACTTGGGATATTGCACCCATGGAGGAAAACTGCACTTAAAAATATAACTATAACTCTAGTCTCTTTTGTGTTTAATTCAACGTTTGATGTATTCTACCAAATAATTTGGGAAATAAGTGAAATTAATTTCTTTAATTCAACTAGCAATTTGTTGTAATTTAGCGTTTTGTCTTTTAACCTCTTTCCTTCTCTAATCTTGCGCTATTGTGCGGATTGATCCTCCTTAGCAACAGTCTATTCTCGTTAGCAACAGACTGTTAGTGAAAATGATCAACCTCTCTAATGTCCAAATTGACCAACCAGAATCGAGCATTCAACCAAGCCATGTAATAATGTCATAATATTGTTTTTGTGATATTGAAAAAAAGTCAGTTTAAACAGAATACCAATAGAACGAAGTTTGAATTATAATTATTTGTTTTCATTGGTGTCTTTTTTTTTTTCAAGTTCAATTCTTCCAATAAAAGAAGTAGACATTTCTATATATTTTTTATAATCATCATACAATTTTATTTGCATTTGTAATTTTTTTTAAACTGAAAGCAGCAGAAGGGCCGAACTAAGGCTGCAGCCACACGGAGACGATATGGGTCGTATCCGCTACAGTTCTCTATCATATAGACGGTTCGGCCACACGAGGCCGACAGGGAAACGCAGAAACGATAACGGGTCCTAAGGTGGGTAGATCTGCAGACGCAACGCTCCGTGATTACGCCCTATACGATCATTTCCATATAACGAAAATACTGACGGGCTGTCAGGAGAGGGGGAGGAAAAGAGAGACTCCGTATATTATTCTTTTTATAATAATAAAATAATAATATGAGTCGTTATTCATTTGTTTTAAAGCTCAATAATTAACAAAGAAGACCTTTGACCGGCGCTTTTATCATTTTGTCCGGAAGATTTCAACTTTAACGGACATGTTGACCAGCGAAAACAAATCTAACTGAAACTCTGCCACACGATTCCCTCGTCCCTTGGAAGAGGCGGAGATGTGGGTGTTTTTCATCTGCTGGTGGACTAATTGGGGAGATTTACAGCAGGAGCACACGCTTGCCTCGGGGAGAGAGAAAAAGACCCAGAGCCCTGGCCCCTGCCTCTCCCCACCTCTGCTGCTAAATCTACTCCGGAGAATAAACAGAAGGGCAACCATGGCAACCATGCATGCTCGTGAAGTCTTCTTCGCTGCTTTTGATATATTTTGTGGCGGAAGTACAGCGCCATTTACAGGCCCGGCATATGTACTACAGCGTCTCCAGCGGGTTGAGCGGTCTCATGTGGACGGGCACATTTCTGGTGCTGATTGCGTGTGAACGGAAGACTTTTTGATATCAAATTCAGTTAATTTTCGTTACAGTCTCCGTGTGGCTAGGGTCTAAGTTTGCTTTAATAGTTATTCAAGTAATATCGTTAATTCCAATTATAACAAAGCTATGGCATATTTTTTGTAATGCTGCAGTCACACTGAAGCACAAGAAGAATCCACAGCTGACAGAATGGAGGAGGATACATGCGGCCAAGAAGGTCAGGAGGATAAAAAACTTCTAGAGTCCCACCTGACTATTTCTCCAGAAACTTCAAGCACCCAGACTGCCATTGCAAGTCCAGGAAACGAGGGTGGGGTCAGGACCTGGTGGATGCAGGATGATGTCGGGGAGCGATCTGATCACCAGCCCGCCTCTGCTGCCTCACGCTGGGACTTCAGCTCCATCTCCTTCCCTGACCTGGGCTCCAGCAGGGAGCGCCCCTCCAGCTGCCTGGTATCACCTGACCCCTCTCTGCTCCCTGGGGCTCTGGCAGTGGGGGTCTGTGACGTCGACCCCTGGAGGACCAGGATCAACCTGCGGGATGTCAAGATGTCCTCGAAGGAGCTGATGAGAGAAGATGAGAAGCGAAGGCATCGCTCGGACAAGGACAGAGAGGTTTGTAGTTAGACAGCGTTCCTACGGATTGTTAAAAGTCTTAAGTTAAATGAAATTATTACATATCATTGCAATAAACCATAAAGAAACAAACTCAGAATAATAGGAAAAGTACAGAATTATTTGCCATATTTATCAAAAAGTAAGTGGGTAATATGCAAGCAAAGCACCTCTTTTCACCCTCTGTCTGAAACTAGGTTAGCTGTTATCACGTAGACTACACTTACATTTGGTTGGTTTGCTAGCCAATGAAAGCACATGTTACATAGTGATGTCTCTATATTGTTGAAGAAAAGTGGGGGGGAGAGAAACTTTGGGATTTTAGCCTTTGCCAGACCATTTACATGCACAAAAACCTATATAACACTACAGGAAGGGGAAAAGCATAATACGGCCTCTTTAATCTGTATGAACCTCTATGTAACATGATTTCGAAATGCAACTGTTCAACACAAATTGAGTTGGAATCTTCATTTGGAAAATTAATATGTTCCTTTAGGTCAGGCGCTGCAGTAACTGGGCGGAGTATCGGCAGCTGATGGAGAGGCGGCAGGGGAGGAGGAGTAAAGGCCGAGCGACACACCTGTGGGACGGGGAGGTCACTCCTTTACATGACCCGAGACAACCAATCCCCACTGGTGAGATCACATGGATCTAGTCTATAAATGAATTCTGAAAGAAACCCACAAATGGATGATCATTTGTATGTCGAATACTCACCCCATATTACCTTGAATTCTTGATGTAAACTTTGTTTTTTTTTCTCTTTCAGGGGAGCTGCTAGATAAAATCAGCGTGATTAAATCTACACATTTGCTTGAGGGAGCGTCCAGGTAGGCATTGTTTCCCTTTCCTGTTATCACACTGATAGTGAAAATTATTTTCCTTATCTAATGAGGAGCGAATAAACTGGAAAACAGCCCTGCCATAATAAAAACTAAATTGCTCAAGGAAGACAAATTATGCTTATCTTCAGGTTCATATTAGTATTTAGTGTCTCTACTGTGACATGTCTCCATGCTTTAATGTTCAAAAAGGTCTTTGTTTTTCTCATACTGCCTGTGCTGCAGCACCTCTTTTCACCCTCTGTCTGAAACCAGAGCCCAGTCTGCTCTGATTGGTTAGCTGGCAGGCTCTTTTATGTAAACTAGGAATTATGTTTACATTCAGCTGAGACTTACTGACAAAAATGTGCTGCTAGGGCACTCACACATACAAAGCCGTGGCAGCACATCACCCCCATCCTCATCCACCTCCACTGGCTGCCGGTCAAGTCCTGCATAACCTACAAAGTCCTCCTCCTCACCTACAAGTCCCTCCATGCCCATGCCCCCAGTACTTATCGGACATCCTTCGCATTATTACATGCCCCACCCCGGAACCTGCGGTCTTCAGACTCTGGCCTGCTTACCACCCCCCGCACCAACCTGCAAACCTTCGGGGACAGAGCCTTCAGTGTGGCAGCCCCAGGGGCGGACTGGGACTAAAAATCTGCCCGGGACTCTCGAGCAGCCCACTTCGGTACCACTAGTAAATACCGCTAGTAAATTGCCAACGGGGAGTTCTATTGACTTATCCGACCGGCCCACATCGTCCGACCGGCCCACTTCAGTACCGGCCCATCGGGATTCTTCCCGAACGTCCCGATGGCCAGTCCCACCCTCTGGAACGCTCTTCCTGTGGAGATCTGCAACATCTCCATGCTTGACGCCTTCAAAAGGGCCCTCAAGTCCCATCTGTCTGCCAAGGCCTTCGGCCCCTAATCTAGTTGTTGTTTTTAGGGATGCTCCAATCGCCAATTTTGGAGCCAATCGCCAGAATCAGTATTACTGATTCTGGCGATTGGCTCCAAAATTGGCGATTGGAGCATCCCTAAAAACAACAACTAGATTAGGGGCCGAAGGCCTTGGCAGACAGATGGGACTTNATTTAGTTCATCAGAACTAAAGAGAATGAACTAAGTTCTCATGAACCTTTGTGGGAAAAGTAATGCGGTGTGAAAGCGCCTAATAAGTCTTCACGTGCGTCTTTGTAGATTGAAATTATTCTGTGGGATGAAGGCGGATGTATTACAGAGACAAACAACAGAAATTAAAATGTGATTTTCCTTTTTTTTTTTCGCTGCAGAAAAGATATCTAAAGATGAAAATGGGCCGCCTGCCTCTGCAGCCCAAGCAGTACTGCCAGTGTGAGCGGTAAATGTTCCTAACTTCTATCTACAGTCAAAAACACATTACTTTATCCACCCCCCCTCTCTCTCTCCAGTAATCTCTGTTCCCTCTGCAGATTCTTTCTAATAGACTCTATTCACTTTACATTAATGACTGTTTGACCTTCGCTTTCTCTGTGCCTTTCTCACCAAGTGCCTTTTCATTATCGTGTCGTAATTAGTGTGCAAACTTCTCCTCTTTCCTCTCTTTATCGCAGGCCAGCAGCTGCAGAAAAACCGCGGCAAGGACGTCGGAGAGAGAAGCCGAAAGCCCCCCCTCCCGCAGCCGCTGCTAATGTAGAGACATGAAAGACAGATGGAAGAAAGGCGAGGAAGAAGTGAGAGCAAGGGGAAGAAGAGAGCGTGAAAGTGTGAATACGGCATGAATGTAAATGGTCTTTTGAATGCTCGAGATTAAAATAAAAATGTAATGATATGGCCACTCACTTTGAGCCTTCTTCGCCAAATATAACCAGTGAAGTGAATGCAAATGGAATCCTCCACTGCAGGGGGAACAGCAGCTTGTGTTGGACTCTAATGCAGCACATTCCCGTGTTGAATAATGAGCCGCGTTCACACCGCAGTACTTTTCCCACTTTAGTTCCGATATACTTCCGAAATGTCGCGTTCACACCAAAAAGAGCCGGAACTAAAATTAGTTCATGAGAACCTTTTTACCCCCTTTTCCGTCCCTGCTAGAGAGCAGGGACTCTCATGTGGCTCTCTTGTGAGAAAAGAGCTATATTTCTGATTGGCTGGGCGGATTGCAAACCACGCCCCGTAAAACTCAAAAAAAGTGTTGTGAAGCCACCATTTTATTATTCTCGCATTAGCATTATTAGCATTAGCATTATTAGCATTAGCATTAGCCCAGCGCAGAAACGCAGAGAGACTAACTTATGGCAACACAAAATAAAACATGGGAGCGGTGGAGATAAGGAGGTGCCAACGCTCTGGCGATTTACATCCGGCCGGGGATTTTGGGCGGCAGTATACGCCGTGAAGTTGTTTGCGGCCTGCCAGTAAACCCAAAGCAGAAGAAGAAGAAGTGACGTCAGCGGCTTCATTTGCCTAATCCACCCCCAGGGACTTATTCCGGTGTGAACGCGATCTGTACTTAGTTCATCAGAACTAAAGAGTTCTGATGAACTAAGTTCTCATGAACCTTTGTGGGAAAAGTACTGCGGTGTGAAAGCGCCTCTTGACTTCGGCCAAGAGAGTGTGCGAGCTGACCGCTCTGTCGGTGCACCCGAGTTGCCTTTTGATCCGGGGTGACCGTAGCAGGGCAACAATCAGACCGAACCCTTCCTTTGTTCCCAAGAACCTAAGGAGTTCGTTCAGGTCTTTAGTTAGGCGGCTTTAGTCTTCCACCCAGAGACACAAAAGGGCCTATATCTTCAGCCCTATACAACTTATTTAATTTGAGTCACAGGTCTGTTGTTTCCTGTCAGCCCATCTTGTGTAAACACGAGCAGTTGTTGTGATTGCTTACCTGCAAACACACATCCGTGTGTAAGGTTTCCCCGGGTTGCTCTTCTTGAAGTCAGCCACCGTGTCAGGCTGATAAACATTGAAACTAATCCTCCACTCGTCTGATGCTTGTAACCTGAGCGGACAAACACAAAGTCATCGCCTGAATGATGCCCTCTTCATCACAGAACAATACACAAACATCATATTTCAAGAGCACTACAAGGCCGGTGACAAACGCAGGAGCCGCAGCGTCTCGCTCCTTTGTCACTCTGTCTTTATGTGTTTGTAAACCATTATTTGTGATAGCATAGAGAGGAGTTGAAGGTACATCAAGTCCAATCTCTTTATCTTTCTCAGGTGAATGTTTTCTGACCCCAATGAACAATAAAGTCACTAATTTAATGCCAATCTGCACTAAATGTTTGCTCCATGTGTACACACAGCAGGTAGGTCATTAGGGTTTACTTACTAAGGGTTTCTGCATTTTAAATACCACATAGAACGGAATTCAACAACTTTTTTTACTGTCATGAAAAGTGAAGTGAAACCAATAGGGACAATTAGGCCTACAATCATATTTTTTTTAAATATATGAAATAATAAGTGTTAATTATTACCTGGAAACAGGGGTTTGGTTTTGGTTTGTGTAGCACTTTTGTGACAAAAAAGTGTTAGGGTTATCGATATCGACCAATACTCACTCTCTGCCGATCGATCGGTGCTCTCTAAAAATGCAGATCGCGAGAGCCGATCGTATGACGTAAAATTATGTGGTAAAATACATGACAATTTTCTCTGTGCGCGGCAAAACAAGCTCACCAAAATGGCTTCACCAGTCTGGCAGTATTTTAAGGTGTCAGAAAAAGACAGTAAAATAGCGGTATGCAACGTGTGTGAAGCAGAAAACCTGCAGCTCCACCCGCTGTGACGGACCGCTGTGACGGACCGCTGAGCGGAGCGAAACACACACAAGAGTTAGACCTAACACACTTAGCTATTTTATATAGCTCTGGAACAAACTAAACTAGTTATAAATATATTTATTATTCACGGTCGGTTCAGTCATTATTGGATCAGTGAGCTGCATGAGATACTGACAGGCTGTCAGGAGGGAGAGAGGAAAAGAGAGCGCTTCTGCTAATTTCTCCCGTGTTATTATCCAAAGTGAACGTAAACTTGAATAATGTACTTCATTTGAATGTAATAATTATGTTGGTTGTTGTTTGTGGAAGCGCCAGTGAATGAGCCCCATTAACTGAGTTTTAAACATCACTTTAAAGGAAGATCCCCATAAGCCCCGC